GTTCACACATGTAGTCATTTGTGTAAAAATGAGTGGATTTCCCAACCAACCACGCTTGTGGTTTGCATAGCTTTTATGAGCATTGGCCTTCAGTCTGGTTCTGGTGGTTAAGGCTTCATTCCCTTCACCAATCAGGCTCAGCCACTAGTTTATATCTATTATAGCCCCTTTTTTTGAAGGATGGACCACTGTTAAACCTGTGTAATTTACTTGGACCACATCACATACTTGTTAATATAAAACTCTGACCGTTCTTGACGTAGTCAAATGCAAGAATGCATTTCATAAATTTGAGACTCTAGATCAGGGCGTCCAACTCCAGTGTCCTGCAAGTTTTAGACCTCACCCTGAGTCAACACATCTGAATCACATGATTGGCTCATTATCAGGCCTCTGGAGAACTTCAAGACATGTTGAGGAGGTCATTTACAGTTTAAATCAGCTGTGTTGGATCAAGGACGCATCTAAAACCTGCAGGACAGCAGCCCTCGAGGCCTGGAGTTGGACACTCCTGCTTTAGATGATATGAAAAACGTTGTGCTTTGTTCTGTCTCGAGTAGGGCTATCTCAAACTCGTAGGATCGTTTCCACAGCACTATATCCGTCAGAGTTTGTTTGTTTTTGGGTTTATTATTTTATAGTTCTATTACCCTTTATGGCTTTTATATTACACCACAGATATAAGTATCAAAGCAACCAGTGTTGGTATTTAATGTGGACTGTGTTTGTCAGACTGTGACAGTTGATACAGGCTGGTCTGTCTTGGCCAGTTTGCTTTAAAGTTGACATGAAATACTTCATGTATAAAGGCTCATTTACAGCATGGAGCTGCTCTCAAAAACTGACGTAGATGTAAAGTTTTCAATACATGCCAGGTGTCTTCTTGTGCCAGTACAGGATATGATGTCATCGGCTTGTTTGGTTGGTTGGTTGGTTGGTTAGTTGCAGTCAAGGTTACGTTAGCTAACTAGAACCAATAACTCAGGAGTAAACAAGGGGACCTAAACTAAAATTCAAAGCGGGTCACTTTTGTGCCGTCCAACATAAAACATAAAACAATGAGTTTTATGTTAAGAAATCAAGATAAAGTAATCCAATCAGTGAGATGACATAAAAAACTCCAAATAGTGTGGCATCGCTTCCTCGGAGCCTCTGCCTCATTGGCGTTTTTTATTTTTGTTTTTTCTATCGCGCACATCGACCCATTTTTAACGAAAAGATTTACATTAACAAATTCATGCCATTTCTCACCAACAATGCTCCATCTGGTGGCAGATGGGTGCATAACATCTATGACACGATAATTTACCGGCATTGGGCAACAATTAAAATTTTAACAATTAGGTTAAACGAGTAGAACTTATGTTACTCACTACTGACAACAGCG